GTGTAGTGCTTCTTGCACAGGCTTCAGAGTCACATGGATGTGAATTGAAGTCCCTGCTTCTCCACATGTTAACTGGGCAAGTTACCAACCTTCCCTGAGATTCAGTTTTGTACTGGGTGGTCTTGGTTATTGACTTACACAGTGCCTGACATAACTGTTCAATAAAGGGTGCTTTTCATTAGGCAGTTAGGAAAATAGGTCTGCAATTCAGTAGAGTTGTTGGGACTGGAGATAACAGTATGGAGGTGACAGCAAAAGCCTTGGGAATGGATGCAGTTTCCCAGGGAAGTGTGAAGAGTGAGGAGAGAAGAGGGCAAAAGACAACCTTGGAGGATTCCAACACTGAAAGGTAAGAAGTAGAGGCTGGGCAGAGACTAGATGCTATTAGACAGGCAGAAGAGAGGAGTGGCAAAGAGAAAGGTTTTTGGAGGAGGGAGTGGTTCCTCAGGTGGGAAAGTGTGGAAGAGCTCTTGAGTTTGCTCCTTAAGACACCTGACACTTTACTTTAGCAAGAGCAGGTTCAGTGGAGTGGGAGACAAAAGTTAGGCTGCGGTGCATTGAGAAAAGATAAGGGCCTGCCTGGACCCAGCCCACTGGGTGCTCAGGAGCGGTAGGGAATGCTACTGAGCTTTGAGTCCATTGACTAGGACTCTGGGCTTCTAAGGATTTCTTCTCAATAAACCTTACCTCTATCTGTCTAATAGGTCGCCTGTGGTCAGGACCATAGTCTGTTCCTAACGGATAAAGGAGAAGTCTATTCTTGTGGTTGGGGTGCCGATGGGCAAACAGGTAGTGTACCTTTCACCCCGGGGGATAGTGCAGTATGGCTTTGTGAGCCGTAGGGCTCTCATGGGCTAGAACCTACCTTCCCTGATTTGACTCTTACCTCTCTTGTTGCTTGCTGGGGAACACTGTTTTGTTTGTCTCATGCCCTTCCCCTCACCCCTGGCTCCCATAGAAATGAATCAATAAAGGATTGGCTAGAGGATTGGAGCACCCCTCAACAAAAGAGTTCTGAGCCTTTTCAAGAAGAAACAAATGCCACCTAAAAGGAGGTTGAGTTTAAGAACAATATCATTGAAAGAGAAACGAGGGATAAGCTTCATCAACCTTATATATTTAATTTTTTGTTTTTGATATTTGTTTGAAGCAAGGGCCTTTAAATTTAAGATTTAAATCTTGTGTAAATCCTCAGTAATCCTACCACCACATCAAATCGTCTTTGTTCATTTTCTCATGTTTTCTTCCAGTCCTTGTTCATATGTGTACATCTTTTATACAGTAATAATAGCATAGGTTTGATTTTATATGCTTATTTAAATTTACATAAAACATTTTTCCATATTAACAGTTTTCGCCTTTACAGTTTTTAGTATTTGTATAATATAACATCAAATTAATTTAGCATAAGGTAAATTAACCATTTAATCATTTTATCGAACAGTTACTTAATCATTACCCTGTCGTGAGGAGGCATACTTTTTGAGGAGAGGATGTGCAGCAGCCATTGGAGCTGATATGCCATCATATATATGCATGTGTGTGTGTATATGTATATGTGTGTGTGTGTGTGTGTGTATATATATATATATGTATACACACATATATATATACACATATATATATACATACCGTATAAATATATATATGTGTGTGTGTGTGTGTGTGTGTGTGTATAGCTTTTTCTTTCGTTTGGGTTATTCCTAGGATAAAGTCTCAGGAGTGTGTCGAAGGATTAGGATATTTTTGTTTTCAGAGTGTTATTAAATTGCCTCTCAAAAGTTTTACCAATTTATACTGCCATCAGCAATGTACAGAAGTACCACTTTAATCATAACCTCTCTAGCAATGAGGATTGTCAATTCAAGTGTGCCAATTTAATTACTATTCCAGTTTTCTAAATGTACATCTTTTTGGTAAATATAAAGTTGAAGCTTCTCTTTATTTTTAAAATCCTATGTGGGTAATTTTTAAAAAGCAGCTTTTTATAGAAATAATAAATTGTTGATACATTTTGACAGCATAGATAGGAATAAGGTAAAGAGTAAAAGTCCCATCGCAGGAGATAACCATGGCTAAGTTTCCCGGTGCCATTCTAAAAACTTGCTGTCACGTGCTACACCTCCTTCAGCCTCACTGCCTTGCTTGCTGGGCTCTGAGTCCAGCCATGGAGGCCCCCTGCAGTCAGTTCCTAGAGCCTGCCCTCTTCTTTGCTGCCATAGGACCTTAGCCTAGAATGCTCTTTGCTCTCCTTTTCATCCTGTAGGCTTCAGCGTGGATGTCATCTCTTCAGTGAAGGCTTCCCTGACTATTCTTTCTAAATCAGTTGTTTTCCTTTTCTCTTGTACTTTCTGTGTGAGCATCCTATTCCTTTCTTTCAAAAATCTTCAACATTTTGAATTACTTAAAAAAAATCTTTTTAATTTATATGTATTATAGAATATACAAAAGATGATATGTAGGCAGTACTCCCCAAATTGATCTGCAGATTCAGTGCAATTCCTATCAAAATTCCAACTGCCTTATTTGTAGAAATGGACAAACTGATGCTAAAATTAATATAGAATTACCACAATTACCACAAGTAGCCAAAAAAAAAAAAAAAATTTAAGAACAAAGTTGGAGGAATCATACTTTCTGATTTCAAAGATTACTACAAAGCTATAGCAGTAATTAAAACACTGGCATAAGAATAAGCATAGATCAATAGAATAGAATTGAGAGTCCAGAAGTAAACTCATACATCTGTGATCTATTATTTTTGACAGGAGTGCTAAGACGATTTAATTGGGGAAAGAATAGTCTTTTTAACAAATGGTGCTGAGACAGCTGGATATCTACATGCAGAAGAATGAATTTGAACTCCTATATACACCATCTACAAAAATTACCTGAAAATGGATCAGTCATAAATGTAATCTAAACTATAAAACTCTTAGAAGAAAGCTTAGATGTGAATCTTCATGACCTCAGATTAGACAGCAGTTTCTTAAATATGACACCCAAATCATAAGCAAAAGAAGGAAAAATAGATAAATTGACCTTCACGAAAATTTAAAAACTTTTATGCATCAAAAGACAAGATCAACAGAGTGAAAAGACAACCCACAGAATGGAAGAAATATTTGTAAGTCATATATTTGAAGAGAGTCTAGTATCCAGTATATATAAAGAACTCCTATAATTCACTAACAAGACAAACAACCCAATTAAAAAATGAGCAAACGTTTTATATAGATATTTCTCCAAATAAGCTATACAAATGGCCCATAAGCATATGGAAAGATACACAAATAGTCATTAGGGAAATGCAAATCAATACCATGAAATACTACTTCACATGCATTGGTATGGTAACTCTCAGGAAAAAACCTCACATAATAACAGGTGTTGGCAAGGATGTGGAGAAATACAAACCTTCATACATTGCTGGTAGGAATCTAAAATGGTACAACAGCTGTGGGAAACAGTTTGTCCATTAAACAGAATTACCATTTGACCCAGCAATTCCACTCCTAGGTATGTATCCAAGAAAAATGAAAACTTGTCCTCACAAAAACTTGTGCACAAATGTTCATAGTATTCTTCATAATATCCAAAAACTAGAAACAACTCAGATATCCATCAACTGATAAATAAATTTAAAAACCACAGTATTTACATGCAATGGAATGCTATTTGACCATAATATAACTGAACTTTTGATACATGCTATACCATGGATGAACCGTATAAATCTTATGCTAGGTGAAAGAAACCAGACACAAAAGACACATAGTGTGGAATTCCATTTATATGAAATGTACAGAAGAGGCAAATACATAGAGACAGAAAGTAGATTAGCAGTTGCCAGGGTCGAGGGTGAGGTGGGAAATAGGGAGTGACTACAATTGAATATGAAGTTCTTTCTGGGTGATGCTCATGTTCTTAAATTAGAGGTGATAGTTGCACAACATTGTGAATATACTGAAAACCACTCAATTATGTACTTTATAATGATTGAAATGGTGAACTTATGTGAATTTTATCTCAAAAAATGATATGGAACATAAATGTAACTTACAAAACATGATAAAATCAATATTTGTGAAACCACTACCCAGTTTAAGACCTAGAACATTCTCAATACTGCAGATTCTACCCACGTGTGACTCTCCTGTTTCATATGCTTTTCTTCCTACTACAGGGAGATCCACCATTCCAAATTTTATTTCTGTTATTCCTTTCTTTGAGAGAACAAAAAATTTATACACATGTGCACATACACACTCCTAAGTAATGTATTGGCTAGTTTTGTTTCTTTTAGGAGTCATACTGTATATATGTATCTTACATACATTGGTTTAAACTTAACATTATGTTTCTTAAGATTCAGCCCTTTTATAAGTATCTACAGTTGATTAATTTCTTTTTTCCCCTTTATAGCTGGGGAGCCCAACTCCAGCCTGGAACTTGTTTTTTGTCTTTCTTCAAGTTTTAAAAAATGTGATATGTGGTTAAATACACATAACATAAAATTTACCATCTTAAAATCATTTTTAAATGTAGTTCACTGGTATTAAGTACATCCATATTCTTGTGCAACTGTCACCACCATCCATCTCCAGAACTCTTTCGTCTTGCAAAACTGAAACTTTACACCCATTAAACAGTAACTCCCCTTTCTTCCTTCTCTCCTCAGCCCCTGGTAACTGCTATTCTACTTTTTGTCTCTATGAATTTGACTATTCTAGGTACCTCATATAAGTGAATCATACTTTGTGTGTGTGTGTGTGTGACTAGTTTATTTCACTTACCATAATGTCTTCAAAATTTATCCATGTTGTAGCATCTGTCAGAATTTCCTTCCTTTTCATAGGCTGAATAATATTCCCTCGTATGTATATACCACATTTTGCTGATGAACACTTGGGTTGCTTCTACTTTTTACTTCTTGGAATAATAATGAACACAGGTGTCCAAATCTCTCTTTGAGACCCTGCTTTCAATTCTTTTAGGTATATACCCAGAAGTGGCATTGCTACATCATTGGTAATTTTATTTTAAAATTTTGTGAAACTGCCATACTGTTTTCCATAGCAACTACACAATTTTATATTCCTCCCACAATGTATGAAGTTCTAATTTCTCTACATCCTCGCTAACACGTTATTTTTCTGGGTTTTGTTTTTGTTTTTGTTTTTTTTGTATATATATTTTTAATAGTAGCCATCCTAATGGGTGTGAAGTGATTATTTGGTTTGTGGTTTGCATTTCCTTAAAGTCAGTGATGATGAGCATCTTTTCATGTGCTTATTGACCATTTGTGTATCATCTTTGGAAAAATGTTCAGGTCCTTACCCCATTTTTTAAGTAGGTTGTTTTTGTTGTGGTTGTTGAGTTCTCTGTATTCTGAATCTCTTATCAGTTATTTGATTTGCAAATATTTTCTGCCATTTTTTGCATTGCCTTTTTACTTTGTTGATAGTCTTTTGACGCACAAAAGTTTTTACTTTTCATTAGCCAAATTCATTTATTTTTTCTTTAAATTTTTTCCCCATTTTTAAGAAATAATTGACATATATCATTATGTAAGTTTAAGGTGTATAGCATGATGGTTTGATTTGCATATATTGTGAAATGATTACCATAAAGGTTTAGTTAACATCTGTCATCTTATACAGATACAATAAAAAGAAAAGAAAAAATTTTTTTCTCCTTGTTATGAAAGCTCTTAGGATCGGCTGGCTTTCTAAATAACTTATTTTTTAATTTTGTTTCCTGTGCCTTTGGGGTCATATCTAAGAAATCATTGCCAAAAACAGTGTTATGAAGCTTTTGCCGTATGTTTTCTTCCAATAGTTTTATAATTTAAGCTCTTACATTTAGGTCTTTTGATCCACTTTGAGTTGATTTTTGTATATGGTGTTAGCTAAGTGTCCAGCTTTATTCTTCTGCTGCATGGGGGCACCCAGTTTTCTCAGCACATTTGTTAGAAGGCTGTCCTTTTCCAATTGAATGGTCTTGAGACTCTTGTCAAAAATCATTTGACCAATATAAGTGAGGGTTTATTTCTGGGCTCCCTATTGTATTCTATTGATGTATATGTTTGTCTTTTTGACAGTGCTACACTGTTTTGATTACTGTAGCTTTGTAGTGAGTTGAAATCACAAAGTATGAGTCCTCCAAATCTGTTCTTCTTCAAGATCATTTAGCTATTTAGGATCCTTTTGAGATTCTATATGAATTTTAGGATGGATTTTTCTATTTCTGCAAAAATTATTGTTGGGATTTTAATAGGAATGACATTGAATCTGTAGATCACTTTGCATAGTATTGACATCTTAACAATATTGTGTCTTCCAGTTCATAAACATAACATGTCTTTCCATCTATTTATATCTTCTTTAATTTCTTTCAGCAATGTTTTGTAGTTTTTATTGTACAAGTCTTTCACCTTTTTGATTAAGTTAATTCCTAAGTATTTTATTCTTCTTAATGCTACTATAAACAGAATTGTTTTCTTAATTTCTTGTTTTGGATTGTTCACTGTTAGTATATAGAAATGCAATTGATTTTCATGTGTTGATTTTGTATCCCGCTTCACTGAATGCAGTTCATTTTTATAGCTGTATGATATTCTACTATGGAATACACCTCAATTTATTCATTTTCCTGTTGATAGATATTTGGATGGTTTACAACTTTTTGTTATATAGCAAGCAGTGCTTCTGTGACCATCTATATGTCTCCTTGTAGATGCGTTCAAGAGTTCTAGGAGCTCTAGTGAAGATTCTGTGAGTGGAAGTGCTAGGTTATAGGGTATGCATATGTATTCCAACGATTGTTTTTTAAAATAGTTGTAACAGGTAACCCCCACAACAGCAGGGCAAAGCTTGGTATTGTCTACCTAAAAGTTTTTGCTTGTCTGATGGATGTGAAATGGTATTTCACTCAGGTTTGAATTTGCATTTCCCTAATTACTACTGAGAGTGAGGATCTTTCCATGTTTATTGACCAGTCTTGTTTTTTCTTCTCTGAAATGTATGTGTTATTTTTGCCCATTTTTGTTGACTTATTTGTCTTTTTCTTACTGATTTTTAGGAATTCTTTGTATATTTCATATCTTAATTCATGTTCCTATCTTTTCTCAGATTGTAGTTTGTGTTTTTGGCCACCCATCTGAGTTTTTAATTTTGACTATATTTTTTCATTTCTAATTGTTTCCTGTTCATATTTACCTGGTTATTCTTGATAGTCTCTTATTCTTGCTTTTATTTCTTTGAACATTGCATGCAGAGTTATTTGTATTTTGTATATTTTAATTCCAGTGTCTGAAGTCTGGAGGGTCTAAAATCGGTTGTTTGTTGGTTCTGTTTATTCTCACTCATAGTGGCATCTTATGAGTTTAGTAATTTTTGATTGCGATCTCATATTTTATTGAATTTAATTTGTGGAAACTCTAAGAGCCTAAATTGGAGATGCTTTTCTCCAGAGAGGATTTGGATTTGCTTTTGCCTGCTGCCAAGGGGTGCTGCTAGTCTGACAACTGCTTTGAGCCCCTGTGAGGAAGCCAGTTTAAGCAGGAGTCTGTAGTTTAGTGTTCTGCCACGTGTGCTGCTCAGGGATTACTCTTCGTCGCATTGCTGGTAGTGACTTTGTCTTCAAGCAAGCCCTGTCTTTTCCTCTGTTTACTGTTTACCATGCCAGTTTGCCTGTTTCCATTTATTGTTTTGAGGGTGGGATGGGGTGGAGGGTTTGGTTGGGATGGGTTCTTAGAGATTTCCTTTATTTTCCAGCAAGCCCAACAGTGCATTAGAAATTGCTTGGCATAATTTATGCAAAGTCTAATAGGTTCATCGTATAGTGGTCTTTCATCTTGAGAAATTTTCTAACTTGAATTAGACCTAGACAATTTACAGGGTTTTAAAATGGTCTAATTACAATTATGTCTTTTTCTTCCTCTGAGAAAGCATAGAGAAGGAAGTTACCATAGCACAGGATTTCTGAGTTGGTATTTGTAAAGTGCTTAAAACTGTGTTTGACATATAGTAAGCCTATATAATTGTTTGTTAAGAGAATAAATAATTAAAAGTATTTTCCATCATGTTAGGTCTGGGTCACTACAATATCACCAGTGTACCCACCAAGCTGGGTGGAGACCTTACCGGAGTGAAGATTGTCCAGGTTGCCACCTATGGTGATTGCTGCCTGGCTGTGTCTGCTGATGGAGGCCTCTTTGGTTGGGGCAACTCTGAGTACCTGCAGCTGGCCTCTGTCACTGATTCCACACAGGTATGAGGTCACTTACAGCATGGTGCTGGGAGGTTTGGAAATATAATGTATTAAGGACATTTATAAGAGGTTCTTCACCAAAATGTGATGTATAACGTGCTAAGATGTTAAGGCCTAACCTACTGTGAGACTGCCTCTTCAAGGTTCCAAGTTTTTGGCAGTCTCATTATAGCCTGGAAAGAAAGCTTAGATTCAAAAGCCATCATTATCAATACTTCAATGAGATAATACTGATTTACAGCCATATTTTAAGTATGTTCGGGTACCTGTCTTGTTCTAAAAGGGATATGAGGCTGTTTATCTAAGTTCCTATGATGTTGTAGTATGCTTTTTGTTTCAGTATAACACATACGCCCCCAGAGCACACAGATCATAAGCTCTATGAAGACACCTGTGCTGTCCTACCCAGATAAAGCAGTAGAAGCCCTGCCTGTGGCCTCTTTTCTTCACTTTCCCCTTCTTCACACTGAAGTGAACCACCATCAGTACAATACAGTAGAATTTTAAACATTTTATTAAGGAAAAATTCAAATATAAACAAAAAGTATAGCTTATTGCATAGTTAATCTCTATGTACCCATCACCCATGTTTAATAATTGCCAACTAATGGCTCATTTAAAAGAGATATAATTCATGATTTTTAAGTATATGATTTACTGTTTTTTAGTGTAGTCACAAGGTTATACAAGCCTCTCCTCCCTCCAAAAAAAAAAAAACCATGCTCTGTAATGGCCAATTTTGTTTTTACATCTATAATTCCATCTACTCTGCCCTCGATTACTTTGAAGCAAATCCTTGATATCAGCTTTCATCTATAAAAGATAAGGCTTATTTAAAAAACATTCTATATTCCTTAATATCATCAAACTTTGACAAATACAGAAGGGTTTTAATATATGTTAATAAGAGTTGGATGAAAAAGGTGAAGGGGTTAAGAAGTACAAATTGGTAGTTACAAAATAGTCACAGGAATGTAAAGTAGAGCATAGGGGATATAGTTAATAATATTGTAGTAACTACATATGGTGCCAGGTGGGTACTGGGCTTACTGGGGGGATCGCTTCGTTATTCATATAATTGTCTAACCACTGTGCTATATACCTGAAACTAATGTAAAATAATATTGACTGTCAACTATAATTAAAAAAAAAAATAAGTGAGAGGAATGGAGAAAAAAGATTAATGATAAACCTGCACAAAAGGAAACTAAAGATTAGCTAATAAGATGAAAAAATACATTCTCTATGGTCTGGTCAGTTAGAAGTGGTTGCAGATTTGACTCTGAGCTTCCTAGTAGCCAAAGCCAAGAAGAAAATGTCATTTAAATGATTCATTGTTTCTGTAAGATAAACAGCAAATAAAGCATTCAGAAGTACTGCTCTTTCAGATACCAAGGCCTGAGAAAAATGTCTCCCATGGTCTTCGTTTGGGGGACATGTCCAGCATCATATCATTGTTATGTGTTGTATTACCAATGACCCCAAAACTTAGTGGCTTAAACAGCACACATTTATTATCTCACAGTTTCTGTGGGTCAGGAATCTTGGGGTGGCTTAGCTAGGTCTCCTGGCTCCAAATCTCTCAAAGGCTTCAGTCATCTTAGGGTTCAACTGGGAAAGGCTATGCTTCAGGACCACACCAGTGGTTGTTGGCAGGATTCAGGTCCTCGTGGACTGTTAGACTGGGGCTCCACTTCCTTGCTGGCAGTTGGCTAGCTAATAGTTGTTGGCCAAGCCTTCCTTGGTTCCCTGCCATGTAGACTTCTCCATGTGGTAGCTTACAACATGGCAGCTGGCTTCATCAGAGTGAGCAAATGAGAAGGCAAGAGAGAGTGCCAGTGAGACAGGAGCCAGTGTTTTATATTTTAATCTTGGCAGTGACCTTCCTTCACTTTTGCTGGCATTCTGCTCATGAGAAGCAAGTCACTAGGTTCAGTCCTCACATGAGGGCGGGGATCACACATGGGTGTGAATGGGTTCATGGGGATTATTGGGGGTCATCTTAGAAGTAGCCCATCACAACCTTGATTCTTCACTGTGGCTGGAGCCTCATCCTGTCAGTGACAACAGTGGTAGTTTCCAGTGGCTTTTTGTTAGAGTATCCCAGTGTTTGCTGAGGACCTTGTGCCAGAGCACAGTGAGATAAAGAAGCTCTCTGAGAGCCAAGCAGCAGAGGCCAGGCCCAGCCCTGACAGCCTCACTTCACCTAAGCATACATTTTCTAGATCAGTAAGCCCCTTTATTCTTTTTGAGTCAACTTAAGGACTGTTATCTTTCAGCTGTCTCTATTTGAAAGTGAATCTATAAAGATTTATGGCTGTCACTGAAGCACTTAAAATCTATCTTTCCAAAGTTATTCCTCAGTAGAAGTGCCAAAACCAAATCCTGCTGGAAAGCTCAGTTGGCCACATTTCACTCTCCAAATCCCTGGCCCTCCCATCTCTCACTCTCAGCAGAAGATCTTGCCTCTTGTTTAATGGAGAAAACAGATGCTATCAGATGAGAATGCCCTCAGTTTCTCACTATGACTCCTACACACTTAAACTGTGTCTGTACACACCCTGGATCCATTCCTTTTCCTAGCAGTGGAGGAGGTATATCTCTTCCTGTTGAAGCTAATTCTTCGCTCTGTGCCCTGTATCCCATCTCCTCCCACCTCCTCAGAAGCCATACTTCCATTTGTTGGGCCTTCTTTCCCAAAACTTCAACCTATTCCTCTCTATTGGCCCCTCTATCAATCTTTACACTTGACTCATGTGTCTTTTATCTTAAAAAGCTCTACGTGGACTCCTCCACCTCCTCCTGTTCTTCCCACTCCCTACCCCTTTGCTTTACTTCCTGCTTCCCTTTTAGGCCAAGCATCTCAAGAGCTGCATTTATCTACTGTCTCCTGCTCATTCCTCAATCCATTCCACTGAGTTTCCACCCTTATTCGTTTGCTGAGTGGCTCTTGCTACGGTTACCAGGGACCTCCATGTTGCTAAAATAATAATAAAGAATCTGGAGAACATTTTTCAATCTTTATCTTTCTTGACCTCTCAGCAGCGTTTGACATTAACCATGACATCTTTGTGAAAAAAACTCTTCCTCTTGCCCTGGTGACTAGACTCTACTATTGCTCTCTTGTCTTTCTTGTTGTTCCTTCTTAATCTCACTTACTGGGTCTCTTCTTGTGCCAGGCCTTTAAATGTTGAAGAGCCTCCTGGAGTGGACTTTGCTCTCCTTTTCTCTATATTCCCCCTTTAGAAGATCTTATCTGTACCTGTGCTGCAATTACCATCTATATGCTAATGACTCTCCAGCTTACATATCAGAGCTCTAGACATCACTAAGTAGCACTTGACATTTCCACTTAGCCATCTCTAGGCAGTGCGAGTTCAGTGTGTCTGAAAGTGAACTTATGCTCACCCCACCCTCACCCCCTCCCCCATGCTCTGTTTTCTTCTCCATTGTTACCCACGTCCATCATGTTCCCTTCTAGAAATCATTTCTTTCTCCTACTTAGAACCCCTACTGGCCTCTCACTGTGCTTAGATAAAGACCAAATTCTTACTGTAGTCCACAGCATCCTGCATGATCTGGCTTCCCTTTTCCCTGCTAGTGTCTTGTACCACATTCTCCCTCGTCCCTCTGCTTCGGCCACTCTGACTTGTTTAACTGCCCTGAATGTGCCTTGCTCACTCATTCCCTTTGCACGTGCCATCTCCCCTACTTGGAATACCCTGCTCTTCTCCCCTCACCCAGTTACTCCTGCTCATCCTTCAGGTCGCAGTAGAAACAAAGCCTTCCCCAACTGTTCCTCCCCCTGAACTAGATTGGTCTCCTTGACATTCATTCTCAGAGACCCTGTACTTTCCTTCATTGCATTCAGGACAAATTAATTTTATGTTAATTTCGTGTGGCATCTGTCTTCTCCACTAGACTAAACTCAGAGAGGAACCAGGTTTCTTGCTGTCTCTCATGTTCCCAACACTCAGTTAGATGGTTAGCATATGTTCAGTGTTTGGGGAATATTTGTGGCACGTATGAATGAACTGGGACTTATCTTCTCTGTACACAAGACCAGAATATTTCCAAGTTCTCACTGGTTTGTCTTCCTAACAGTGTGGACCCTTCCTTTGATTCAGGTGAACATCCCCCAGTGCTTACCCTTCTCAGGAGTGGGCAAGGTGGAGCAGGCTGCATGTGGTGGGACAGGCTGTGCTGTGCTAAATGGTGAGACCCTGTTGTAGGCAACTGGGGTTGGATGGGGAAGGATTGGTGTCCTTTGGCCTCATAGGCAGCAGACCTCAGCCTAAGGAAGGGAATGTGGCTGGGGGAGATCGCGTTAGATTGAATTCAGCTAATAGAGGGTGAGGGTGACATTCTTGACAGGAAAATAATAACTGTGATTTATATGTAGACAACTAGACAGCACAGAGCTTAGTAATTCTGTAGCAAACCTCTGCAGTGGAGAATGAACTGTTTTCTCCCCGCCCCTTAGTCTGGGCCAGAGACTGTGCCAAGAAACAAAAAGCAAATAGAAGAGCCTTAGGGTTTAGATACCGAGATCCATGCTTCTGGGATTAAACATCTGGTACCACTGATGAGTATTAAAATTCTTATAACCAAAAAATCATTTCTAAGAGTTTTAGGAATCTGGCCAGAAGTCGTTTAGAACTTGGCTTGGTCTTCTGATCAGTGTGAAACTTAGAGCTGTTCATAGGAAAAACTGTCCTTTGAAGGCTCTCCTGTGTTCACATGGGGTTTCTGAGTGATTTATGGATGGGTCCTGTTCAGGTTACCCTCAGGATGTGGGAAGTTTGTATTCCGAGATTGGTGACCTGGTTAGACGTAGTCCACCGGCAAGAATTTAAGAGAGGAGAAAAGAAACATGATTTTAAATATATGTCAGAATGTTCTTGCCAAGCAAGGAGGAAAAAAAAATCCATGTGGATATAATACATCTTGGTGGTGCAGTTTGAATTTCTAGAGAGTGAGGGCTGCTCTTGGTTTGACTTACTGACCATTGTTTTTCCTGTAATGTAGGAGAAGGACATGTTTTTGTCTGGGGCTATGGAATTCTTGGGAAAGGACCAAACCTAGTGGAAACTGCTCTTCCAGAAATGATTCCACCCACTCTCTTTGGCTTGACGGAGTTCAACCCAGAAGTCCAGGTTTCCCGCATTCGATGTGGACTCAGCCACTTTGCTGCCCTTACCAGTAAGTGACCAAGCCTGTGCAGCCTCAAAGACTGACAAAGCTTCACTCTCTCACGTTGAATCCCGAACTGTGGGCAGCTCTCAGTTTCCATCTATGCAGTGGAGTGGTACCTTTGTGTGGATAATTAAAGAGAGCAGCCAATCCAGACGTTGTTGGCTTGAGGTTTTATAATGCATCTTTTTTTCATCCTGGAGTTTTGTTTTTGGTTCATTTGGTTTGTGGTTAAGCTAATGTGAAAGTGAATTTTCTCAAGAGGATACCAGTCAGTGGTAGGAGAGGGGACTGTTGAATATGTTGGTATACTGGGGGCAACCAGCAGAGGTTTGGCATTTCCACAGTGGGTAATTAGGTAATGAATGTGTGGGGCTTAATCCCATTGCCTGGCCAAGCCCAGACCCGAATCTGACCCAGGAACGTGGGATGGCAAGGGGAACATTTGTAAGATCATCCTGTGGTTTTGTGGAAGTAAATCTGCCTCATTTCTCCAAAGTGCTGAGAGAGAGAGAATGATCAAAGGGAAGGCTGAAATGGAGACTTTCTCAAAGATTTGCCAAATTACAAAGCCATAACATATCCACTTACCCTACAGACCTCTTGATTAAATCTCCTATTCCACCACAGTGACTGTTAGTTCAATTTGTTCCTCTTTAGTTGACTTGAATTGTCAGACTGTATTAATTTAATTTCATTTTGTGATTCTCAAGTAAATTCACTATTTCCTTGCAATTAAAAATTTTTTTCATCTTATGGTAAGTAATTGTTTTCTTTTAAACATCTGGGCTGGAACATTCAGTTCAGGTCATCCTCGTTTGTGTTCTCTGGCCCCATGTGAGGACTGTTCCAGATGAACACCATTCAGTACCATCTGAATTCCAGGCCTTGGGTGCCTTAAAACACACAAGCTGTCATGTGGACCATGTACGAGTAGGTTGGAGTCTTGCCTGATTGTATGTATTAAAGTACTAAGTGGTGGCAATGCTGACTGGGGTTGTGTCCCCTCACCATTACTCAAGCAGAGTCAGCCACTTATGTTTGCAAATGAGTCTAGTTCTGTGAGTTTTCTAAAGCTACTTAGACTTAATAAGTAAGAGTCATTATGGACTAAGTACGGAGGTGTCAGCGATCTATTGTCCAGACTATTCTAAGGCTTGGACTATGTGCAGAGTCACATACTTGAGAATCTATATGAAGTATTTCTCTAGAGTAGACTATTTTCTGTTTGCTGTCATGCCATGTGGCCATTTTTGATCACACTGAAATGAAATCCCTATCTAGGTTTTCCCCAGGACCCAACAGCCACCCTCCAAGTGCCAGTTACTATCCCTCAGTAGAGGGAGCATCCAAACTTGGATTTCTCCACTGTCTGTGTGCCCAGTGTTCGCATATGGCCAGCTGGGGGCTGGAGTTGTTTGGTTTATCCTGAGGTCTGCTAACGTTTTGGGAGCTAGACTGTTCTATTCTGTTAAACACATAAAATTTGGGGGTGGAGGACCAAGGATGATGGTCCGACCAGGGTGCCTCTTATAGCTCCTAACAAAACGATTTCTTATTTAATTAGCCCAGATTATTTTAGTCCTGGCTTCTCCATGTCTTTTCTTCTACTTTTACTAGGCAGATGCAGGGCAGTGAAATGGGGCCTTTGTGCCAAGAAGTGCCCAAAGCTGATGTAGACAGAAGTCTCAACTGAGGCCGCCCTACCAGATCTAGGTCCCTTCCTGGAGGATGCCCTGGTCTAGATGCAATCTCCTGGACTCACCTCTATGGCACTTTGTCTGTCCTTCTCCTTCTTGACACTTTTTATAGTTCGTAAGCATGTATGTATGGGTTTGATCATTTGTTTGACTCGTCCCATGAGGATGGGAACCATGAATGTTACGTTCACTGTCCTGTCCCAGTTCCTAGCACACAGGCATAGACCTGGCCCAGAGAGGTTCCTGTGTCACCATATGTCATTTGACTGAATGCTCAAGATATGGAAACCCAGACAAGGAATGACAAATATCCTTATTTCTCACTCTGTCGAATTAGAAAGGCCATGGCATGACCAGGATTTGAGGAAGCTCAGATTTCAAGATTTGTAGAGGGCAGGGTTTGGTCAGACATAGCTGTTGGTGAGGGAGTGTATGCATAAGGGGCAAGTAGAGTGGGCTGTGAGCAGGAGCCACCTTGGCCCACGGCCTCATGTACATACTCATCTCCCACGTGATGGACACAGCGTAAATTTGGGCTTGGACATGTTTTTGGTATGAGGGCAGTCTACTTTTCAAAAGAAAGCATTATTTTCTGATAGAAATTGAAATTTAACATTGGGCTCTGTTTGTACCAGGCTCTGGAAAGCAAGTTCTCATGCAGGGTCCTTCCTCTTCTTCAGACTTGCTCTTGGCCTAGTCCCAACCAAACCACTGATTTTCTTTCTTTGCAGACAAAGGAGAGCTGTTTGTGTGGGGCAAGAACATCCGAGGGTGCTTGGGAATCGGCCACCTGGAAGACCAGTATTTCCCGTGGAGGGTAAGGCTAGACTGGGCGGGCTTGAGATCACGTCCACAGAGCAGATTCAGCTGATGTGGCAGCAGTGCCCAATGTGCAGCTGGGCCAGCACTGGGTCCTGGAATTGCCCCCACTTTCAGTCCCGGCTGCCTTCCTCCTGCCCTTTTGCCTCAGGTGAGGCTCTCCAATTGAGGAGCCAGATCGAGTGCCCAGTACCAGCTTCTCAGGCTGCAGGCTCACTGCCCTCTGCTCCTTCCTGGGGCCTGTTGAGTGAGTAATGGGAGGGAACGGCCTGTGTGGGGTTGCAGTCCCACAGTGCCCTATAAGAAGTCTCATCAAAGGCTGTCCTCAGGTATGTGGAGCAGGGAAGCAGAAGCACACCAGGTGCCTCAGAGAGAAGCAGGCTGTGGGCCGAGTGCCGCAAGGCTCGGGGAGGCTCTGCAAGGGGGCGATTCGAAATGAAGAAGTTGGCATGCTAGGAGCTGTTTACAGAGGCCCATGTAGAGGAATGTTTTACAGCAAATTTAAAAGAAAGCAGGATGTTTAATATCTACAACCACCAAAATGGAAAAATAAAGGCTTTTCTTAGGGGGAGTATGCCATTAGACAAAAAGGCTTATTTCAAAATTAAAGAGGTAAAAAGTTCTTTCTTCAGTTGTAGTTTATCTTAGTATTGTTTACTAAGATTTTTGAGTTCTTCTAAAAAAAAAGCTATTTATTTATTTTTGAATGCAGAACATATGTACTTGGTACAAAGTGTGTTATGGAAAATAAATTTCCCATGCCTCGTCCCAGCGGCAGCCACCAGTGCTGGTTTCTGATGTTCTCCTCCAGAGACGGTCTCTGTGAGGAGAAGTGTATACATGCCAGAGCATTTTCTTTGAAAGTTTGATATTAATAGTGTGTTTCGAAGTTGTGTAAAGCATTTTTTAAAAACATGTAAAAATGCAAAAGAAATGTGTAATTTACATAAAATAAGGATTTGTCTGTCAAAAACCCACTACAGAAGGCTTTGAGGCACTTCGGTATTTTAGAGGCTTGTTTCCATTGGCCTTTCCCACGGCTGCTGGCTCTCCTGGGTTCCTGTGCACTCTGCAGGCCCTGACTCCTTTATAAAAACTATAGGTGCAGTTTCTAAGAGAACAGATCACAATGAAGACTTTACACTTGTTAGAAAAAAAAATGGTTGTGCACCAGAGTTGTTCCCAAGCTGATTGGTGCTTGCTCACTTGTTCCCTGAGCCTGGAAATACTATTATGTATGACAAATGGAGAGTTAGTTGGTAGACAGTGGATGGCTCCTCATGCAATGATTTAGATGTCCTACTTGTTTTCATGGTAGTTCCTTACTGCCCTCTCTTGAACCTCACTAAAAAGGCCATTCTGAGGGAAAGCTTGGGAAACAGTAAAGGAACTGGGTTTTGGATGAATGACCACTATGACGGGAGGCTCCCTACCTGCCTTCAGTTCCTCCAGATTAGAGCAGGGATATAAGGACAGCCATGAAATAAGGTTCGAAATCAATAACATTTTCCCTGTTGAAACGGCTGGGCTAAGCTTTGGGCCCGGTTGTGAAGTTGGAAGCAGCAGGCTGCTGGGGGCTGACACCACTTGCATTAAAACCAGACCCCGCTTCTCTGACTCCATGCTTACCAGGCCTCCCTCTCGGAATGCCAGTCCCTGCATCTGTGCCATCAGGGAAAGGATACTCGGTCTGTCTCTGTGACAGCTGCTTTCTTGCCAAACTGTCATCCTCCTTCTTTCACGTTTGTTGAGTCCTGTTTGTGGAGCCACTGTGTTCCCTTGTCACCTGTTGATTGGGGTTATGGGGATGGGTAAAGGATGATGCTGAGGTCTGAGGGCCTGGTCCTTTCCACTGTGCAGGCTCGAAGATGTGAGGCTGAGGCTCTGGGACAGTAGTGGTGGCAGGAACCAGGTTTTGGGTCAACTAGGCTGGATTCCTTAAAGATTCGATTAGTCTGTTGGGTGTTGAATCTTACTGTAGTCTATTCTTTTACTCACTTAAAAATTACAGGTGCCTTTTATTCTTTAAACAACTCTATTTTGTTAGTAATCTTCAGTGGGAGATATGTTACATCATTTAAAAATATTCCAAGAAAGAAAAGAAAGAGTAAAGTATTATTTGTAGCTCCTGCAATGGTACTAACTAGTTATGCTTAGACTCACAGAACTTGGGCTTTTCTGAAAGTATGTAGGCCCAGGTAGTGACATCTGAGCTCCCTGATTTAAACTTCTTCTTCTAGAGGCTTTCCAGGATCTTTTTCTGCTACATGTTGATATTCAGAGCTCAGACAAGTTCAATAATTTCTTCCATGGTTACACATCTAGTGAGCAGAGCCATGAATCAGACTCAGATATGTCTGACTGTGAGACTCTGGTCTCCTCACAATAGTCTCATCCTCTGTGAGGGCCTGAGCCAGAGATTCAGGATTCCCAGCTGTGGAGGGAAGGAAGTGTGCAGACGCAGGGACACATTGCCCAGGTTTCATCTGGTCTTTACAGGACCCTTTGACCTAAATGGCAGCATTGTAGGCATGGGAATAGGCTGCTAGGGGAAGTTTTTGAATGGCCTTCACCGTTCAACCCTGGGAATTGCACTGGCTCTCCACAAACAAACTGTACAGCCTTTCTGAGGGGACAGCAGAGCTGTCAGTGTGCCGGGTGCTTTGCATTTGTTCTCATCCTCAGAACAACCTATGAAGATTGGGGCCCTTCCCCCACAGCATGCACGTATGAACACTGACTTCAGGAGTCCAAGGGGCTGGATTTATCTCAGAGTCACTCTGGGTGGGGCTTCGATGTGAACTTGGGACTCTGCCTGCAGGCTGTGCTGCCTCCTCACAGTGAGCCCCTCTGGTCAGGACCAGGCTGAGTTTAGGAGCGCAAGCTGGGGGGAACCCTCTGACTTCCAAGTCTCTTTCTTATATGGCCACCTCAGTAGCCACAGGCCCGCGGTGGTGCCGATGCCTGGGAGAGAGGTGCCCTGTGGGAATTGGTGCTCTGGGGCAGTGCCTCTTTGCAAGCTGAGCTCTTTGCCTTTCTCAGGCTGGTCACTTGTGCCAGGAAGGAAATTTCAGATGCAGCCACATGGGTGAATCTGCTGGGCCCAGTCACAGCCCCAAGTCAGTGCTTTCTTAGCTTTCTTCTGTCTTTTACCTGGTGGGTGCTTGTTTTAGGAACATGTAATTGTGGAAAGAGAGGTTCCTAAATTGATTCTGCGCAAACTTTTAAGTCACTCAGGCTAAATGTGCTTCTGGTTTAGAATTGTTTCTCTTTGCAATAATGTTGTGAGCATATATTGGTTTAGAATAGAAACTCCTTTTAACCTTGACAAGAACAAAAATAAAACATGGGTGAGGGCAGTCTTCTTTTGGACTCAGTTTAGAGACTATGTGAGGCTGTGAGGGACTGCTTGCTAGGGGGAGCCACCTGCTGCCCCCAGAAAGGGTGTCCGAGGCCAAGCCCCTACTTCCCTGGCCATCCTCAGCCAAGACCATCGTCCTGGCGAGTGAACCAAGGCCCAGTGGTTTACTCTGCTTTGTGTGCTAATGGCAAGAGCACTAGGGTAACAAGGACAGAGGTGCTTAAGTGCAGCAACTTGGCTGCAGATTAGTGTGGAGTGTGGCACTTTTCATGGGAGTGGTCAATAAAATGTGCTCTAATGGCCTGGAGAGGTTGCTAAGAGTTCACCTGGGCCCAGTCACCAAAGAAGCAGCATGTCTTCTGCTTCCCCAGCCAGTCTGGAACAATTTCTGCATCTGTGAGCCTCTGCAATGAGCTAGGGCATTGCTCTTATTTGTTTAGTGATTTCTCTAATAGGTTTTGCTAAAAGAAATTTGTTTAGGGAAGGAGGGGCAGGAAGCACAACTTGGTTACTAGCATCCATTTGCTTGTGGCCAGGAGTCCTTAATGGATTTGTCTCCCCATGCCAAAGGCGCCAAGCTCCGGGTCGACATTGCTGCCTCTGGGCTTTTAGGCCAGGCCATCTGGATCAGGCCTTTTCTTCTCTTAAGCTCAGTAAATGCCACAGGCTATTACACATCCCGTTTCTAGCTGTCACACTGCCCGGCCGAGTGTTACCATCAGGGCAGGATGGCAGAATTCAGGTCTGGTCAGAGTAGCAGCATCGGCATCCTGGCGGAGGTCTGAGGAGTAAGTGGTACAGGTGCACTTTCTTAAAATTTTCCACCTGAGAAAATAGTATACTTGGCCTTTGCTTGTCTTTGCATCAAAAACCTCTGGAAGGCCAACAAGAAACTAGTAATTTCCATTTCAGAGGGAAGGTGGGGAATAGGGGGATGAAGGTGGGTGGTAGTAAAAGGTATTTAATACCTTTTTATTCTTTTTCATTTTATGTCATTTTATATGGTAAGCATGTAAATGTATACTTATTCAAAATA